GTATCACAGTCCCAAATCATTTGCTTGGCACGCAAATCTGTTGAAGACAACTTAGGGTTGGCATTTAAAATATATTGAATATGTATATATTAATTAAGGTATAAAATGTATATTTACTATTATAATAAGTCGATATAAAAAAAAAGGATATTTTGTACGCAGTCAGGGTTAATGTAACACTCGATGGCTGACACTTAGCAGCAATGAATAAACCTGCTAATGCACACATACCACCACCTATTTCACACACATTTTTGTTTCTTAATTGAATTAAATTAAATTATATACTTGTTAATATACAAGATTTAAACAATAAAACAAAATTCATACTTAAAAATATGTAAATTATTTAAAGAATAATAGGCTAAAACCTCTTCAGCGGGCCAAACACAAATGTTACCAGTAGATAAAAACCCAGAATATTTAGAATAAAGACTGTTCTTCACATCGTAATAATTAGGAATTTTTATTCTATTAAAAATCAGATAGGTTTAAATTTGGTTAAATTATTTAAATGGTTTAAATGGTTTAAATGGTTTAAACGGTTTAATATAATTTGAATTATTTTTACCTAATATTTATACAATCATTATCATCTAAATAATAAGAATACCATTCATTATGTTCTTTTGGAGTATGCTTATCAAGGCAAATTTCAGAATTTGTCAAGGTTTTCTTTTCCAAAGTAACGTTTTCGACTTTATCAGCATCATTTAAAGGAGAATGATCAAGTTTTGTTTTCGAAAACAGGTTAAATCCCTGATGATTTCTTTTAGAAAATTTTGTGGGAATCACTAAGGAATTCGTATCATGTGATGAAATTATGGAAGAAAGTAATTTCCAACGAGCTTTTGCTGGAGTAATCGAGTTATTGTCATCGGTAGTGTTAAGTGGCATTGTTTGACAATTTAGATAATCTTGATATTTTTTCATCTTTTTTACGATGATGATTATCACGTGAATATGGTAATACGTACGTATCATAAATACCGTATCAGGTATGTTACCAAATAGAAGCTACCAAAAAATTTTCGATTTTCTCGGGCTAAATCGTGGGGATAGCTTCTATTCGGGTCTAATTTTACTATTAAAACATAATAACCTTCTTCAGATTTTTGGATCCAAAATCGAGGGGTAGCTTCTATTCGGTAACATACGGTATATATTAATATATACGCACTAACGCTATTAATATAAATTATATATCGATATCGATATATATACATATATATACCGTGTAACTACCTTTTTTTGTTCATTACGAAATCAATTTAATATACTTTTCAGAATTACACATAATACAGAAAATAATTAAATAATAAGCTCGAAAACTTCAAAGATAGAACATGCATTAATTCTCCAATCAACTAAACTAATTTGACCATCTTCGCATTTAATACACAATTCATTCCTATTGTCATTAATGGTCCTTATTTCAGACTTTCTTATTCCGGCTTCTTGGATATTAACAGGAAAGTGCTTATCAACAGGTTGATAATTCCAAAACAAATAAAATTTAAACTCTTTAATATCTCTAACATTAAAAGATATCGGCGCAAGTTCGAAATTGAAGTAAACAATGTTTTGTGAAGGTAAATAGGTTGGTAATATGGGTGGCTTTACTCGTAGTTGTTTAAGGACGTATTCTGACCACTTGTGATTTCCCCACGAAACCTGATCAAAAGTAATAATGTGAATGAATGAATGAATGTTTTAAAGGATCTTTTAAATTTTTTTTTTTTAAAAAAAATAAAAGAATTAAAAGAATACTTCAACAGTATATTTATCAGCATGATTACGTTGTAATTTATCATTAATAACAACCGGAATAATTGAATTCCATTGTTTATTTATCATTCGCAGCTTGATTAATTGTTTAAAATCTCTATTTTTTGGCATTAAAAATAAATTTAAAGATAGACAATTAGCTATATATACATATTAGATCTCGTGACAAACTTTGATTTCATACCTAGTATCTCGAAATAGAACACTAAGTATTTCGAGAATTAGTTCATTAGGAAGTTTGGGCGTCATTTCTTCTAGAAATTCAATGAGAATAATCGCTTTGGTTTTTTGTAATGGAAAAACAAATGATATAAAAAAAGTGAGTAAAGCCTCGTGAAGCCACAAACTTTTTCCATAAGAATTTTCGTGATCATCAAAGAAAACAAAAAAACCAGTAATGTAGTTGTGCAAATGATAATAAATTACTTGTTAAGAACATACTTTAGATTTTACGTAAGGGTTTCATCGAACAAGAGAAAATGCTTAAATTAAACATTTCGTGTTAAATTGCTTTTTTTAAATCTATTACGTTTCGTTCTGTGAGACCGAGACTATCCGAAACTAGGTTTATACAAAAATTAAAGTTTGAATTTTCACATGCTAATGTTTTCCGAAATATGTACTAGGTCAATAATAGTTATAGATTTAAAAAAAAACGAACAATTGGATAGATCCAATAAATATTTATTGAGCATCTGAAAAGGTGCATGTTCTTTTAAAGTACCGACATTTAGTCGCATAAGTTTGACGGAACATGACGTAAACACGCTAATTTGAGAAAAACTTGGGCGCCGAGCAGCTTTAACATTATACACATCTTAATGCAGTGGTATCATCTTTAAAAATACGTAATTAGTCCTGGAACTTCTAATAGCTTTCGCAAAGATACTTTTACGCGTTGTTTTATATTTTAAATGTTTAATTTAATAATTTTATCTCGCAAAGGATTCTCTTCTCGATGATTGTACCCATTCTACCATATCTGTTTGATTAGTTGTAAATTCTTTTTTCTGATTTTCTTCGTCACCAAACCATTCATTCCACCATTTCATATCTTCTTTTCTCGGCAAATAATCCAAAATTCCAGCACCATACCATAGAATACTAAATAAAACATATAACCACATACAAATCATGTCTAAAAATCTTATTTTACATGCTGCTCGTATAAGTTTAGATTGGTAGTCGTATGATGTTGGACAAAAGAATGGAATATTGTGGATTTCGTCCTGATCATATACTACCATATATGTGGTATAAATACCTAATTAATGATGTTTAAATGAAAATATTAGCACAATATAGAAAAAAGAAAAGATTGCTTTAAAACTTACTAGCAGCAACTATCCACCATACAAGGATATAACTTTTTACAAAAATAATTAAATCATGTGTTATTTTTTTGATTCATGAATAAATTTTGATCGAAATTTTTAAATAAATATAAGTTATACCACGCATTATCTTTAAATACGTCTATTAAGACTTTTGGCCTACAACAATGACATAAACAGGATACAAAAGCATGACCTTATATTAAAAGAAAAAAAATTTAGAAAACATACTGTTACTAAAGTGGTGAATTCGGAAAATCACGTACGTACAAGGTATCCAAAGTGTGCAAGCAAAGTAACTATTTAATATGTATATATATATAGAGATTAAATATAATTAAAAGTATCGGTATTCATGTTTTACATATGTAAATGCGAAAATAACTTACAAACCCTCGACAATAAATTTTTCCCATTTGGCTTTAGTTGGCCCAGGAATATATTGAGAAAATTGAATATTTAAAAATTCTAAAATATCATTATAGTTATTGCTATATTAAATAAATTAAATAAATAAGTTAGATATAATTATATAATTCAAAATAACGAACCCAAGAATGGACAAATGATTAATAAAAATAATAATGGAATTCCTAATATCATTCCGATGATATTTCGATATCTGGAATATTCTTGATTTCTTACGGGCAATGGCATCACCTTACAATGTTACCGAAAATAACTATACTTTGATCTTGTTATAATAATTTAATCTTTATAAATTTATAAAATTTTTATTGATAATTTTGTTTTATATTTTTAATAAGAAGGAATGCGAAATAATTTAAAAAATCGAAAATTTACTGCATTTAACCGTCTGCTGGCTTTGCAACTCTAAAAATGCTGTGGCTTGGTGTCAACTAAAAATAAATATAACTATTCAAAATGTGACTTCGCTTTATTAAATAATCTGGCTAGAAGATAACTTGTAAGAGAAGAAGCGATGCATTGAAAGAAAACGACAAATTGGATAACACTGCAATCTTCTTGACTGCAAAAAGTATTCACTATAAGTTAATAGAACTACATAATTATTATTATTATATTTATATTGCCTACATAAAAATACAAAAAAACAAAGTTATATTTACTGGATTTAAGTGTAATTTTTTTTTTTTTTTTACTTTACATACCTATATATTTATATTTTAATACTAGTAAATTTTTGTTTACTAAACGCATTTAACAGAATTATATATTTTACTACCGTATATTTAATACTTTACAAAGATAGTTGCTTATTTTATTAAATATAAAAATTGTAACAAGTAATAAACTATACTAGTAAAAAAAAAATTATTAAAAAAATCAATACTGTAATATTAAAATACACCAGTAAGCATCATATATAATTTCATTATAGAGATAAATTTAGAGTTAGAATGCAGTTATAGGTTAAGATAGGGTTAAATATAAAGGTTTAAATTTTAGTTGTTAACATAAGAGTTTTGAAGATTCTGAGCACTTTACTAATCTTAATTATTTAGTTTTAAATAGCACTCTAGTATTGAATTCCACTGGTGTGTTTTAGTAAACTCGAAAAAATTTTAACATATTAATTTAGTTATTGTACTGTATTTTATATATACTAATTTTTTATAAGATATTGGTCATGCAACGATTAATATCATGAAATTTGTTTTGTCGGAGCAAATGGTTGGCTGACATGTGTCGAGCGGCACACTTCAGCCTATCATTTGTTCCGGCAGAACTAATTTTATGATGTTATCGTGCAATTATAATCAATTCGAGATTGTTGTACTTACTTTGCGGAAATCTTAAATTTTTGCGAAAACGACAAAATATCCTAGATTTAGCGTGAATTATTAATAATATAAGCCTATAAACAGAAAATTTTCATAGCAAAACTTCTTACTAGCACTATTAACAAGGTTGCGACGAGGTTTTTTAAAATTAGAAATTTTTCGTACGTACTCAGTCAAAAAGCCTCGTCAAAACCTCGTTAATAGTGCTAGTAAGAAGCTAAATTAGTGCTTTGCTTGAAAATTTACTGTTAGAGACCTATATTATTAATAATTTACGCTAAATCTAGGATATTTTGTTGCTTTCGCAAAAATGTAAGATTTCCGCAAAGTATGTAATAACGTACAAAAAATAACAAGAAGAAAAAAATCCATGATCTTAAGAGTTTGCACGATAATTTTAATTATTGTAACATATAGTAACACTTTATAAGTTTTGTTACAATAACAAGAGTAAAAGTTATTTAAAATAAAAAGAAAAAAATATCAAAAATTGCATATAAAACTAATAACCGAGCTTTTAAGGTACTTTTTAATCATTACTCGAGGGATTGGATACGTATTCGAATGACTCATGTGATCGTAATCAGGAGGATTTATAAAAAAAAAAGACTTTAAAACTTTATCACCAGCAAAAAGTATTCGAATTACAGCCATTTTTCTTAATCTCTTCAAACTCATCTTTTTAATCGAGATTTTTCTAATCGCATTTAATCTTTTCTCTATCAACATTACTATGCTTAATAATCATGTAAACAATATCGAGGTTTCAAACCCTATAGAGTCTCCAGAACAGCCATTTATTTATAGAATCTTGATATCAAATACTCGTTTCAATGTCTTTTGTAAGGTTTACCCCCCTCTTGCCTTCATTTATCAGTTTTTACTACCTATCATCAGTTCGCTAGTTTTACCAGTTTAGTCATTTCACCTTTTTAAAATTTTTGAAAAACCTCTAGGCTTCACTAACAATTATAGTTTTATATCACAAAATAAAAAAAAACTTCAAGCTCATTAATGTTATCTTTTAAGTTCATAAACAAAAAAAAATTCAGTTTACCTGTTTAATAATCTTTCTGATTTTTATTTTTAATAAAAAATTTTTATATACAGTATAACATTTAATATTATATTTTTGAAACTCAGGTCTGATGCTAAACTTTTAGAGTTGGTTTGAGTTTGGTCCAGGTTCAGTCCAAAAGTTTGAAAGTTCGAATTTAATAAATGCAACTCATCGAACTTAAATAGCTTATTTTAAAAGCATATTTTAAAGCTTAGATTAATAAACGCTTTTATATTCATAAATATTCATGAATTTGTATCATTTATATTTAAATATTTATAGAAACTTTATAATCATTTCCCTATTTAATACGAATAAATAAAATTAAATTAGAACAGAAGTAAGTAGCTAGATCATATAGAGATAATATGTGTTATCCAAACTATATATCTTCATAATAGTTTGTAAGTATAGCAGTAAATTATAAATAATGATAATTGCAATACAACTATAATTTAATACAAAAATAACACAGCGCTAACCAAACTACTACAATAGCCTAGTATAGTACTGTATTTTCGCGAAATAACGCCCTGCGCGTTATTCGCGAAAATACGGTAACAATTTTTGACAGAAAATCAGAAATCACGACAATTCCCAATACAATAACGATAGCTCTATAAATTACAGCTGTTTTCAAAAAGGTGTGAACAGTCGCAAATCACTATGTATGGGAAATCCATAATGTTTTCAAGATTTTCGAAGTTTTCAAGACCTGCTCTAATTGGAAGTCTATAGTCATTTTTCAAAAATGTGTGAACAACGATTTCCATATATCTATGTGAGAAATCGAAGAATTTAGAAATGTAGATTAGTAAAAATCGACTTCTGATTAGTGCAAGTCTTGAAATCTGAAAAATATCGTGAATTCCCCATGACATGGTGATTATTTTATGAATAAATTATACGTATACTTACAGACTATTAATTTAACATGTTAATAAAAAGAATAGAGAAGTAATATTTAATAAAAATTCTATTGACGATAAAATGTGTACACTATTTTATGAATAAATTATATATTTACGGACTAATAATTTAACATGTTAGTAGAAAGAACGGAGAAGTAATATTTAATAGAAAATACTATCGACGATAAAATGTTTATGAATAAAACTATAATTACCGTCTAGTAATTTAATATGTAAGTGAAAAACAGAGAAGTAATATTTTAATAGAGAATTCTATTAACGATTAAATGTGACATTATTTTATGAATATACTATATACTTTGCTCCCTGATAATTTAAAGTAAAAGAACAGAGAAGTAACATTTAATAGAGAATTCTATTGACGATGAAATGCGTATATTATTTTATAAATAAACTATATACTTACAAACTGAGTAGAGAAATAATATTTAATAAAAAATCTATTGACGATAAAATATGCAGATTATTTTATGAATAAACAATATACTTACACACTGATAATTTAGCACTTAAGTAAAAGGGCAGAGAAATAATACTAACATGAAAGAGCAGAGAAATAGTGTTAATGTAAAAGAGCAGAGAAATATTTACTGGATATTCTCTATATAATATTTCCCGTGATCTTGACTTATTTTGACCATTTGGGATTTTGACCACTCAAGATCTTAAGATGTCGGGATCTAATTAGGATCTTGACCTTCGGGATTTTGGCCTTTCGAGATCTTGACCATTTCGGGATTTTAAATTGTCGGGATCCTGTCTTAGTCAGTATTTTGACTTTCGAGATTTTTAACAGTCGGGATTTCGGGGTTTGAATATCGGGATTTTAAACTGTTGGGATCATTTCTTAGTCGCTTGTCGGTATTCTATCTCAGTCGGAATTACGTACTGTTTGGGTTTTGGATTTCAAATTTTATGGTACGTCCCATTTTTAGTAAGTGCCAGTTCAAGTATATAAAATTAACGTTTATTTTATTGTCTTGGTTAAATTAGACTTTTTGCTATCGTCTTTCGTCTATTTACATACATACTTGATTATATTAGACACGTGATATAAACGTCATCAGGCAGCCCGGGTCGTCCAATGCCCATGCAGGCCTGACCTGTGCCCGACCCATTGAACACGCCATTTAAATATACCTACTAAAATTCACATATACATTTTTACTAACAACACTACCCTCAAACCCTAACCTAACCCTAAAAAAAAACCCAAAAAATTTTTTAAATTTTCATAATAAAATAAGCTAAAATTTCAGCATCAGCATCATCCCCGACAATCAATAAATTTCCCCCTAACGTGACCTAACCCTAACCCTAGGTTTCATCACATAAAAATCACGAAGGGGAAAAATTTTTTGTGGGAGAGCTACCAACTATTATAAATATCATAGCAAAGCTTATTATAACCAAAATGCCTTACGTTATTTCTTTTGATCCCTTTTTTCCCCCTTTTATTTATTTTGCTATTTATATCTCTTTGCGCTTTCCTCTTCTTCGGATTTTTATTAGGCCCATTTTGTCTCTTATTCTTAATTATAGTGATTGTAGTGACAATCGGTAAAATTGTTTTATTCCTTGCTGTTTATTTCAGTTTAACAAAAAAAAGGACTTACACAATAAAATACTTCAACAGTAAAAAAAAATATCGAAGAAAAGAAAAAAATTGTCGAATCAATTAAAAAACATGAGAGAGAACCAGGGGAAACTGAGAAATTTATTCGTAAGACCAAGTTTTTCTCATATATTTAGTAACATACTAGCAATATATTTCGATATATTTTTTTTAACTAAACTTCTTTGTAGGTCTTATGGGGTCAAATTTTAGATGGCCTATTTCAATGCCCGATCATTACAGGAGATTTGTTCTTTGGGCTCTTACGGACGAAGTTGACAGATTAGAATATGACGATGAGACTGCGTACAATCATCTTGTTTTCTTCGATTGTCTTGATAAGGGCGTGTTTGATACGCATAAGAATGATTGGGTATTGATATATCAACAGAAGGTGATTAAATTTGGGCCAGAATACACAGACGACCAATTGTCTGATCTTGATGAAGAAAAACCTGGTGCTATTTATTTTCCAGTCGATTTATCACGACATGAAACCATCCCACCTGCACGCAAATGAATACATGGTTTGAATTATTTTAATGTAAAAATATGAATTTGACCGTTTTTTGAAAGTTTATATATATATTATTTTTAAAAAAAATGTATATATATATATTCTTTATTTTTTTTGTTTTTTTTTTACCGAAATTTGCAATAATTTGCAATAATTATCAATAAAAGACTAGAATTGAGTCAAAAAAGTTAGTGTGACTGATAAAAATTCTGGTTTGTTTGATTATAATTTCGTGACCTCTTAAATAATAAGGAATACAAATCTATTCTTGATACGGTGCACCTGAAACCATACTTTCTTTTCACGCTCGTAAACTAGAGGTCTGATCCGATGAATAGTATATTCGAATATAATTGGTTCACTGATTTGAATATTCGAATATAAAAATTTTTCACCAAATAATTCATTGAATATTCAATGAATATTTACTATCTAATCAACCAATTAAATGCAAGATTGGTGTCATATGTCATGCTCAATCTTATATACTGATTGGTTAGCAATGCTAATAATAATGAGCCCAAAGTAGATGAGCAAGATAAATCCTTATTAGCTGGAAGTTTTCTCTATCGATTTATTTATTTTAATGTAGCTTTTAGGTATAAAACTCATTTGTTAGCTTGTGTATTTAAATTCTCAATTATTCAACTTCATAATATTGTCTTTATTCATTATTGTTCCGAATCAACAACTCTATTTCATGATCATCAAATTCAATGAATATTCAGTGAATATTCGAATATTCATTTAAAATTTGCTGATGAATATTCGGTTATTAAAAAGATTGAACGAATGAATATTCGAATACTTATTTTTCGACCGGATCAGACCTCTATCTTAAACAACTTGGAAGGGCAGGGTGGAGTACTTCAATGGGATATGCTACTGGATATGGTGCATCAGCATAGTTGCTTCTTGCTTCGAGTCCTTTTTTGGTTTCTATTGGAAATTCTACAAGCTGGAGCAAATGGACTCAAACGAGGACACTTCGACTCTGGGAAAGAATGCCCGGTGACCAGGTTGAGTGTTTTCTTATACAGTAGGAAACGTCTTGGATCAGTTAGCATATATGCATGAGCCGCATAGGGACTGAAATTTGAAATGCATGAGCCCGCACTGGCAACCTTTTTAGCCAGGCTAAATAATGGTTAAACTATTACAAAAAAAAAGACCAAAAAAACAAAAAAAACGAAAGTGTACAAAATTTTTTTTAAATATCATTTAGCATTCTTTATTATGTCGCATAATATTTCTACTACGTAAGTTCGTTATATTGAATTGTTAATATGAAGGAATTTTACAAAATTATTTATTTTTTGCTATTTATAAAGGAACCCACCATGTAACTCTTTGATTATTCTGTTTTCAGTAATAAATTCTATGGCCGTTCCAGGCATATGTATCATTATATACTCATTTGTGCTTAAATTTTCTTTTGAACTAGTGGATAGTTAATTTATACGTATTTGAATTGTTCATACTTAGTTGCCTGCCGTAATATGTTCAGTGAAGTTGGAAGGTTACAACCTTTTATTCTAAAGTTGTAATGTTTTGCCGTAATGGATGTAGCAAGGTAGCAAGTACAGTAAGCCAGAATTTTTACAGTAAATCACTATAGAAACTATGTTTCCAATACAAAACCAACACATCCATATCTAAATCACTTGTATCACTATTCACGTTACCCTTGCTACACATTTAACATTTAATCTACAGTATCTATTTTATTAAATATAGATTGAATTTGTCATACCCCATTTAAAAACCTAAACTGAATTCGCTTTCAAGACACGTTCGAACCCAGCCATTGCTTAGAGGTTTTTTTTTTTTTTTTTTTTTTTACGTATTTTAATATATTCTCTTGATAATGGTATTTAAATTTCATTTAGAAAATGTAAAGATGCTAATTTTCACTTTATTGATTATAAAATATTGAGCACAGTTCTGAGATAAAATGTGATTTTGATTTGGATTATATAAACTAATTAGCTTGCTACCACCGTTTGCATTTATGTCAAAGTTTTTGATATGTTTAAGTATTTTTAGTTCCATTAAAATTTGATAATCTTCTCGCCATTTTTTAAAAACTTTAGAGTTCTTCGGTTGACCTTTTCTGGATCTTTTATTATTTCATCATGTTCACATAACATTGTGGAGCTTCGTTGTTAATGGCGGTCGAATATTATTTGTTTGATATTAATTTGACTTATATAATTATATAGTACAGCTTTACCGTACAATACTGTACTTCCCATATGATTCATTGGGCTAAGTTTTTGTATAGTTTTAATGCTGAATCTTTTTAAGATTCGATTGAAGTATATCAGGATCTTCATGGGTGCAAAATATCAAATACTGTAATACATAAAAAAAGCAATTCTTGGATGTGTGCCAGGTCAGTATACAGTGCATTCGTAAAATCTCAAATTTCCACCATGTGTTTCATCAACCGTCCTGTACTTTGAATGTTTTCTATTTTTCTTTTGTAAATTAATTTTTAAATTTTTAGTTCATTCATTATGAAAAGGTACTATTATAAAGAGAGTTGATCGTACTTTATATGTAAGTATTTAGCAGGATTTGATAATGTCAGTGACAATTTCCACATACAGTATATCTCATAACGATAACGATAACGATAAAAGATATCATTATCGTTATCGTTATATATATGCTAATACTAACGCTAAGACAAGTTGAATATGCTAATTTGCATTCTTAGCGTTAGTGTTTAGCATTAGAATTGATTTATAAATTCATCTATTACGGTAAATATTAAAAATTTTTAATTTCCTCTAATCGTAATGCTTAGTTTTTGAGTAAGCATGAAGTAAAATAGAACCACTAATATCTGCTATAAAAGAAAAAAGTTCGTTAATAATATCGGTTAAAAGGAGGAAAAGTTTAAAATATGTCATTAAAAAGTTTAAGAATCTGTCGTAAAAAAGTCTATTAATGTATATTAGATGTGTAATAGTCTTATCGTTATCGTTATAACGAAAATATTAAATACTATCGCTATGTGATTAAAGAAATTAGTGAATATAACGATAATATTTAAATAAGCTTCGAATTTAAACTCCAGGATTTAATGCTATATTACTAATTACTTACAGTCTTCATAACGATAATAACTGGTATAGAATTTAGCATAGTAACATAGTATGAGTGGTTAGTAGAAATGGAAAATGCTTCTCAGAAAATCAAAAAAAAAGTCATCGGGCTTTCAATATTCAGTTGGCTCTATCTATCGCTATAGGCAATCTATTCCGATAATAGATTTCCATAGACGGCACACAGAAAGCCAACTGAACATTGAAAGTCCGATGTCAGGTTTTCTATTGACAGCACTCCAGAGTGTCAATATTTGGCAGAGATTGAATCAACACTAAATATTTTAACAGTAATCATGAAAGTTTATAATAGTGGATTTGAGATACGCAAACTCATAATTTCCAACTTTAATTACCTTAAAGCCTTACAGTACGTGGGTTTATTAACAAGTATCGTATTATTATTAGATGAACAATGATCACGTGATACTAATGATTCTATAACTTCAATCGAAGTTTCTTATACATTACAACAGTGATAGAAAAAGATAAAGTGAATAATTAATGAAAGACAAATCTACGCTATGTTTTTATTTAGTTCAACCGGTAAGGTTAACATATTGTTTGTAGTGCAATCAATCAAATAACCTTCATTTTCATAAGAGAAAATAGTAGAAATTTGCATGATGATCATATCAATCGGATTAACGGACATGATTTATCGTTAATCCATGACAATTAAATTATCCGAGACTTAATCATGTGCTAGATCATGTGTATAATTATTCTAATCGAAATATTACAGCAGTAGTAGAAAAAAGCCAAACGAATAATCGATGAGAGTTGAATCTATATTATATTTTTATTTAGTTGGCAGAAAAATTTAGCATATTATTTGTAGTACGTACTAAGTTCCACTTTCTTAAGAAAAAATCATAAAAATCATTGAATAAAAAAAAAAAACTTTACATCGATTTTAGGTAGGTAATAATACCCTTTTTGGTATGGTACAATTTTGAGTATTGGGTACGGTACAATTCTACGCGAAAAGTACACATTTATTTTTTATTTTTTTTGTTTTTTTGTAATAGTTTAGCCACTATTTAGGCCAGCTAAAAAGGATGTCAGTGCGGGCTCATGCATTTCTTCTAAAAATTTCAGCTCTTTATGCGGCTTATGCACATATGCTAACTGATCCAAGACGTCGTATCCTATGAGTGAACATTCAACATGGTCACCAGGCGTTTCATGCCAAAGTCAAAGTGTTTCCGTTTGAGTCCATTTGCTCCAGCTCATAGTATTTCCAATAGAAATCAAAAAAGGTTGCGAAGCAATAAACAAATGTGTTGGTGCACCATATCCAACAGCAATTTCTGTTTCACGTTTCCACCCCGCCCTTCCAAGTTGAAAGGGAAGTATGGTTTCAGGTGCGCCAGTATCAAGAACGGATTTGTATTCCTTATTATTAAAAAAGGTATCACGAAAATTATAATCAAACAAAACAGAATTTTCATCAGTTGCACCAACTCTTTTGACTCGAATTCTAGCCTTTTATTGAGAATAATTGTAAATTGCGGTAAAAAAAAAAATAAAATAAAAATTTTTAACAAATAAAGAATATATATATATACATTTTTTAAAAAATAAAAAATATATATATATAAAAATAAAATACTTTCAAAAAAATGACAATTCATATTTTACATTAAAATAATTCAAACCATGTATTCATCTCCACTATCAGTATGCAAAGTGTGCACAACTCTCGCAGGTGGGATTTTTTCATGTTGTGATAAATCCACTGGTAAATAAACAGCGCCAGGTTTTTCATCTTCAAGATCAGACAACTGCTGGTTTGTGTATTTTGGCCCAAATTTAACCACCTTCCGTTGATATATCAATACCCAATCATTCTTATGTGTATCAAATTTGCCCTTGTCAAGACAATCGAAAAAATAAAGAAGATTGTACGCAGCCTCATCATCATATTCTAATCTACCATCGCTCGTAAGAGCCCAAAGAACATATCTCCTGTTACGATCGGGCATAGAAGTAGGCCATCTAAAATTTGACCCCATAAGACCTACAAAGAAGTTTAGTTGAAAAAAATATCGATATATATATTGCTATATTCAGTAGTATGTTAGAGAACTAAACTTATTACGCAAATATTGTAAATTCTAAAATAAACATTTTATTACATAATTGGAAAAGTTTTTTGATTGTAATTGCAAATGGGGGAGGCTATATTTACGTAATAAGTGTTAGTTCCCTTACTCGAAATATATGAGAAAAACTTGGTCTTACGAAGAAAATTTTCAGTTTCCCCTGGTCTTCCCTCAAATTTTTTAATTGATTCGACAGTTTCATTCAAAACAGACATTTCTTCGGTATTTTTTTTTTTTTACTAAAGTATTTTGTCGTGTAAGCCTTTTTTTATCAAACTAAAATAAACAGTAAAGAATAAAACAAATTTACCGCTTGACACTATAATCACTATAAATGATAATAAGAGCCAGAATGGGCCCAATAAAAACCCAAAGAAGAGGAAAGCGCAAAGAAATATAAATAGAAAAATAAATAAAGTGGAGAAAAGGGAATCAAAAAAAATAGCGTAAGGCCTATGTATTGCATTTTGGATATGTGCATAGTTGATATTTATATATATTGACATGATTTATACTGTATAATGATTACGATTGGCGATAGTTCGTTACTTACAGTCAGCCAAAGTATTGATAAAAATTAGTTAAATTTCGTAAAGTATTTATTAACGATTTAAAGGGATATCAATATCATACAGAAGGTAATTTTTAATACTTCTAGTGAACCAACTCATACGTACGTAATGTATTTATCTGTTATAGTAACGGTAATAAAAAAAAAAATGTATTGATTATGACCAATTATATTTAATACCGATACAAGTGAGTCATAGCTCAACAGTACTGTATTATGAATCTATACGTATAATAATACGTTAATACTTTGGCTAGCTGACTGATTTAAGTAACTACGGAACTATCGCAACTTTAAATGTTTCTGTTTCTTTACATATAAAAAAAAAATTATCCAATAAATCATGTCTCGCCACCATATATAAATATCCATAGGTATATTCAAAATGCAATACATAGGCCTTACGTTATTTCTTTTCTCCCCTTTTATTTATTTTTCTGTTTATATCTCTTTGCGCTTTCCTCTTCTTTGGATTTTTATTGGGCCCCTTTTGGCTCTTATTATCATTTATAGTTATTATAGTGTCAATCGGTAAAATTGGTTTATTCTTTACTGTTTATTTCAGTTTGATAAAAAAAAAAAAGGCTTACACGACAAAATACTTTAGTAAAAAAAAGAAATGTCTGCTTCAAATAAAACGGTCGAATCAATTAAAAAATATGAGAGAGAACCAGGGGAAACCGAAAAATTTCTTAGTAAGATCAAGTTTTTCTCATATATTTCGAGTAAGCGAACTAACTATTACGTAAATATAGCCTCCCTCAATTTGCAATTACAATCAAAAACGTAATTGATAAAATTGATTACATTAGAATTTGCAATTGTCAAATGGGGAGGTTATATTTACGTAATAAGTGTTAGTTCCCTAACATACTATAGCAATATATATCGATATTTTTTTTAACTAAACTTCTTTGTAGGTCTTATGGGGTCAAATTTTAGATGGCCTATTTCAATGCCCGATCATTACAGGAGATTTGTTCTTTGGGCTCTTACGGACGAAGTTGACAGATTAGAATATGACGATGAGACTGCGTACAATCATCTTATTTTCTTCGATTGTCTTGACAAGGGCGAATTTGATAAGCATAAGAATGATTGGGTATTGATATATCAGCGGAAGGTGGTTAAATTTGGGCCAAAATACACAGACCAGCAGTTATCTGATCTTGACGATGAAAAGCCTGGTGCTATTTATTTTCCAGTGGATTTATCACAACATTAAAAAATCCCACCTGCGAGAGTTGTGCACACTTTGCGTGCTGATAATGAAAATGAATATATGGTTTGAATTTTTTAATGTAGAATAAAAAACAAAGCCTAAATATTGGTTATAGTTAAACTATTACAAAAAAACCAAAAAAAAAAATGAAAGTATAGTTTTTGTGTATTATCTGAGATTGAGGTCAAATCGTAAAAATTTTTTTTTTAATGTCATTTAACATTCTTTATTATGTCACATAATATTTCTACTTAAGTTCGTTATATTGAATTGTTTATATGAACAAAATTCTTTTTTTTTTACTAATTGTATCGTAAGCAGAATTTTTTATACAGTAGTAAATCCAAGCGTACCGAAAAATTAATTGCAATTAATTTTACTATACGTATATACAATTAGCAATCAATTAAAATTATCACAAAAATAATTGAACTCAATTAATGGCGAAATAATTGCAATTAATTTCAATTTTCTTTCGTAGACTATTTTTTTTTTTCAGATAATGAAAAATTAAAAACCGCATGAATTTACATAGCATAATCGTATCATAACGATAGAGTATATTGCAGTAATTTCGGAAGTATGTAAGGTTAACAAAGCTTATAGAATTTAGGTTTAAAAGTGAAACGTCTTTAACATTAAGGAACATTACTATTATTCTTTTTTAAGATATGGTTCAGCGTAGAATATGAGAAGTTTTTTTTTTATTTAAAGAATTTTTTTTTTTTTAGGACATGTTTATACGTGTATTAACTTATATTAAGAACTTTGACGTTTTGGTCTGTAAAAATTTCGAAAATTATTTATAAACATTATAAAAGTAAAGAAATATGAATATTGTTTTGAATTCAAAACGATAATACAGTATTAGAAGCTAAGATTTGAAGGGAAACGTGCTTTTTGAGAATAACAAGAACATGATTCGAGTAGAAATAACGGTAAAAATGGTGGTTTCATTCTATTAAAATTTATTATTGTTATCATTAGAATTTTTTAATTGGCGCAAATTATTAGACTGATTAATGCGCCACCAACTTGACACACATTCAAGAATTGCATAAAAAAAAATCCGTACTAGTAATTTTTATTATTGTCCGAAGCGTAGCGAGGACTTTACATTGGGGTATTTCATATACTAATTAATCAAACATATGCGAGGTATTATAGTAAAAAATCAATAGTACAGATTTTATGCATAGATCGGCAAAATCGATAAATTACTAGTAAAACATTAGTAATTTAAAAATTGATTCACCTCATGTACTAGTAATTTTTTTGTGGCAATTTTCGCGGCAAATGATAATTATCATGTAGTAAAGAAAAGTTACAAGCTTAAAATTTTAATTAATTAAAAATTTTTTAATTATTACTTAGTAGGATTAATATAAAAAATAAATTTTATAATAAATTTACTTATGTAAACGAAAATTTAAGCTTGTAACTTTTTTTTACAACATTATAACTATCATTTGCCACGAAAATTGCCACAAAAAAATTACTAGAACACGAGGTGAATCAATTTTTAAATTACTAATATTTTACTAATAATTTATCGATTTTACTGATCTATGCATAAAATCTGTACTATTGATTTTTACTATAATATGATTAATTAGTATATGAAATACCCCGGTATCACATGAAATTAGCGACTGCCCAAGTTTTTTTTAGCTACTCAGGTTGTTGCCACTGCAGAATTTCGAAAAGATCAGGAATAGCACGAGAAGCATTTTGTGTCTTCAAAAGATTTTTATGAACTTTTATATTAGTGAAGCACTTTCTTGCCTATTACGTATAATAGCGAAGCTTATTCTAATTTAATTTATTGATAAGATTTTTATTCCTACAAATATTATTTTATGCTTAAAAAATTACATTCATGAATAAATTCATGAAACCGGTGTTTATTTAAAGTAATGATTTTCTATATTGCGTTCTGTAATAAAGTTGTTAATTCATTCTTTATATATATGTACTCTAATGGGAGTAAATATAAATGTAAATTCCCAAGGTGAAAGATTAATAAATTCTTTTTGTCTTAAATTTTCATCGATCGTGTTACGTTACACCTGATCTTGAAATCTGATTTGAAGTTAAGGAAATCTGCGCCACGAATCCTGGCAGAATTGCATCTATCTTAATGTCTGACATAATTTATTATACTGAGTAAGTTATTACAAATAACATGTTACGATTAATTTTGTATGACATTTTTTTCAATCTCGCTATGGTACATTTTGATTGATGACGCCCCCATTTAGTAAATAATTGATCTTTATATGGGTGCCATCAAGGGAAAACCTACAATCGGGCTTTCAAGTATATTTTGTATATAGTTGGTTATCTGTGTGGCAGTCTATGTAAATCTATCATCGGACATAGATTTACCATAGACGGCACACAGATAACCAACTGTACACAAATATACTTGAAAGCCCGATTGTAGGTTTTCCCTTGACGGCACCCATATTTACACACTAACTTAACGTAATTTAATTCATAAACTTAAATAGCGTATTTTAATTGTAAATGTTCTTTATACTTATGAGCTTAATTACTGCAAATAAATTGTAATCAAGTGGTAAATATTTAAAGTATGATTTAATGTTCGTTATACGCGCAATCTTAAATAAATTATACGGTGAATACTTAAATTAATAATTTTATAATAAGATTGCATAATGGGAGAGTAATATTAATAAGACCCGAGTATTACGTAGCTAGTACTTTTAAGATCTTAGTTTGCATGAAATTAGCCAATTTCCAAAAGGGTATTTAGTAAAGTAGTAAAGTACGGTTGTACAAATGTATATAGACTTACGAAATTAGGCAAAATTTCAATACATAGTGCGCATGCTAAAAAAAATTTTGTACGTACTAGTGTTCCTCATTTTCGATTTATGTTGCTCGCATATCATTTGCAAATTAATTTTATGCAAAAAAACAAAAAAAAATCAAATAGAAAAAATTAACAATTTTGATTTTGTAACATGCATCCACATTTTCTTATGCACAGTAAATTATTTTTTTGATAACTGCAGGCTTTAGTATTGCAATTTGGTTTTCAACATTGGCAGCAGTTTTTTTGATCTGTTCTACTTAAACTGGTTGCTTCCTGGTGAGAAAGAGTATTCATTTCATTGATAGGTCTTTGATTGTCACTATAATTTTTTTTTTAAAAAAACAATTTAATGATAAATAAATTTATTAATTTTAATTTACTTACTCGTTTACTTCTTCTGTATCTTATTTTGAATGTATGATGATTTCTTTTAATATTTAGAATTGCTATTCTAAGAATGTTTTCATGTTTTCAAATGTAGGTAATTGTTGCTAAAAAAATTTTTTTAGCATAAATTTTTTCAAAGAAATTTCCTCATAAACCATTTTGATTATACAAATTTGCATTCCCCATTCTTTAATAGTATGTATTTTGAATGTATAGGTAGCTCAATACTTAAAAATTGAATTATATAGCAGATTGAGATTTTTAATGTATTCAAACACTCATTACAGCGATTTTTATCCATTAAACAACATTTATTTTTTTTTGATTTATAAAAGTTTGAAGTATTTGCTCAAAAGTTTCACAACTTAGAAAATCCGAACTTTGTGAATTCATAATTAAATAATATAGAAGAAATTCAATAAAATAATATAAAAGAAATTCAATAAAATAATATTGAAGAAAATTTAAAGAATTATCTTAACCAACTTGTGATTTTTTTATTGTACAAATCATAATTTACAAGTAAAATATATAATATGTTCTACAGTAATATACTTTCATATATTTTTGCTTATCGATAAAATATATAATATTATATTAATATAAAACACGTCATAATTGACCTAGAGATTAAAAAAATAACACTTGTCAATTAATAATCAACAAATTTCAAAAATAATGCATAACATATGTACCTTTCATTAATTTTATCAATTCATTGTCTGTGTTTGATTTGGTTGAAAAACAGTCTTTTATTTAAATAATATTATTAATCAAAATATTCATAAATTTCTTATTTGTGCTGATTTATTAATCAAAACTATATGTAGACCCATAATTAGACCAATTTTTTTAATATGAAGAAACCAATCTCCAAAATTAGTAAGTATAACCATAAAACCCCTGGTAAAGTATTAGCATAATAATGTAATGAAAGTATTTAACACTTTCTAAAAATGAATAAATAAAAATTATTATTTCAATCAAAAAGGATTTTTCAAAAATCAACGTAGTGATATCAAAAAAAGTTGAATGGAACCATCCCTTTTGCATTTCATATGATCATACTAGTATAGATTATGAATCATTTTTTGATAAAAATGATTTTACTTTAAATGGCAAACCATTGATTGTAATAATGAAGTCATTACAAATGACATCAGAATATCACTTCTTCAAAGTAAATGATTGGCTTACATGTGCCATTGCATAGCATATGTAAGCCAATCATTTAAAAAGGAAGACAAATTTTTGCGATCTAATCATATGACCAATTTATGATAAGTTTTAAACATGAAATTGTTGGGTTGGGTTCGAGTGGAAATTAATTAATACATGATCTACATGCCAAATAAACTGCCACATTCTTGATATTGTATATAAATATATAAACCTCCTAACTGCATCAAGAAAATAACTATGACCCTAACTAAATTTCACTTTGCTTTAACCCCTCTCTAAAATTAGAAATTTTATGTAACATAAAACAGGTAATGATCATGAGAAAAAATATATACCAATCAGCTTTAAGATTTTGCCTTCAATTTAGATCCTGGTATATAGAATAAGAGACAATATAGATTAGTTAATTAGAATTAAAATAAACTAAACAAAAATTAAAACAAGAAGTTAGTTACTTAACTGTGATAAAAAGACTAAATAATAAAACTTTATACTAATATAAAATAAAAAACCACAATATAACAAATGATAATAAAGATTATGAAAACATATTGATCATTAATACAAAGCTCTACCTGTTTTCTAGGGATGGATCAGTCTTCATAAAGACCAGGACCGGACTGTAAAAGACCAAAAATCATTCAGTCCTCAGTCCTGAATAGTCTGGTCCTGGTCCTGATTATGGTTTGACGATTACTAATACTTACTGATAAAAAAAAATTTAAAGAATATAAAACGCAATAATAATAATAATAATAATAATAAATTTTTACAACCCTTTTCAACTATGAGTGACAATAAAAATTTCTCTCTTCCATCTTCTAATATTTCTCAGTGTTTTGAAGTATATAATAATGATTCTAATGAAATAAATATTGATATTATTGATGGCCATAATAACCAAAAAAAAATCAACAGTCTGGCTACACTTTAATACTAATGACCCAAACAATCCTAAATGTAAAAGTGCAAAACCAATTTTGCACCTAATACTGCAATATCAACCTTAAAAAGGCATTTGAATTTACATGGAATAATTGCACCTATACAATTAAAAATAGGTAAGAATAAAATTAATCATTAATCAAATGTTTTTTTTTTTTTAACACCATAGGGTGTGCATTGAAGGTTTTTTTAAAAAAAATTAATTTAATTTATAAATTTTGTATAATGATTTTTATAATAAATTTGAGTAGCAAGAATGAGACAAAGATGTTCTTCGCTGAATAATTTGTGATCTGGAATTATTTAATACTGTAGAAAGTGAAGAATAGAGACAAATGATTTCTAAACTCAATCCAAAGTATAGATTTTGTAATCATCATACTATAAGTAGCTGTGTTATAACACTTTATCAAGAAAAAAAAGAAGAAATACTTAATAAAATTTCAGGAAAGGTTGTCTTTACAGCTAATATGGCATTAAACGGGTCTGCTTTTCTAAGTCTAACTATCCATTACAATGATACTTTGTGGACATTGTATAATTTTCTTCTTGACATAATTTTGATAACTGTATGTCATACTGGACTTAATATGGCAAATGCTATTATATTGGTTCTTTATGAATTTAACTTGGCTGCAAAAACTCTTGCTTTAACAACCAACAATACAGCATCAATGATTTCATGTAGTAAATTAATAACAGCAGAGTTGGAAAATGAATTTAATAATTTAAATTTTGCTCATTATCACTATTTTGCGCACATGCTAAATTTAGCAACTAATTTTAAATCTTTCAGAGTATACATCGAAATCATTGCATTTAATAGTAAACACTAGAACAAATGATTTAGTTGATGCATAAAATTATTTTTGATCATTACAAAGTAATAATACAATTGTCTCCTCTATTTCTCCTTTAAATTTACCTGCTACATCCAATTCTACTTCTTCATTTCTCCATTATCTTCCACATCTGCTACTACTTCTTTTTCATCTTTTTCATCTATTTCTACTGTTCCCTCTGTTTCACCTATTTCTTCTACTTCTATTTTACATATTCCTTCTATTACTTCTAATTCTGCTTCTACTTTTCTTACCTCCATTCCTTCCATTTCTCCTATTTCATCTACCTTTGATACCTCTACCTCCACTTATTCTACAAATGAACAATCAGGTAGTCTACAAGCTGAACTAGAAAAATATTTACTTTTACCATTGGAAGACAATTCGGACCCATTGGTATGGTGGCAAGCACAGAAAGAATACCCTATTCTAAGTTTAATCGCGAGAGACTATTTGGCTATACAAGCTACTAGTGTAGCTTCGGAACAAGCATTTTCCATAGCAGGTCTTACTATCTCGGCGACAAGAGCTAGATTAGAGGATGAATCTGCAAGAGCAATTCTATGCTTAAAGAGTTGGCTCCAAAAAGGAATTTGCAAATTGGATGGTTAAACATCTATATACTTAATTCTTCATGTTAAATTAGCTTCGAATATATAATACTTATATCCATATTTATGTATGCTGTATTTTTATGAAATTAATCTATTAAAAATCTGCTGCTGATAAATAAAAATTTGATCGTTAATTAATAAACTAACAAAGAAAAGGTTTAACGTTATGCATAAGTCGTGGGACCGATTCTGGGACCGAAAGACGGACCGACTGGACCGAAAAACCTTATAAGATCGGTCCAATAGGGACTGGGACCGACCGGGACGGACTGATCCATCCCTAACTGTTTTCCTATAAATCATAATACGAAATCAATGAAATTTGAGAATTGCACCAAAATTACTCTATAATTAATATGTAACAAGTTAGCATATAGTAATATAATACGATATAGCATACTTTATTATTAAACGATTCAAGCGCCTAGTTTTAAGCTCAGATTTACATTTTTATGTTTTGGCCTTATTTCGCTTAACCATATTTTTATCATATCGCAAATTCAAGTTTTATCACGATTCATAATCATATATCGTGCTAAATTGACAGAAGAGTCACAAACTTGCGAGACAGGGAGTGTTAAAAGAGACAGAAAATATTGACTGCTTAGCAAAATTCAGCAAAGTTCAACGGGAGGTATGATATCCCACCGTTCTGTTTTATTATGAGGATTTTAGAGAAAACACATCTTTATTTAATCTTAATATATCGATACATGATTATAACTAAGTCTGTAAAAAATTTATATATTTGTGCGTGTAAATAGAAATTGAAGTAAGACACAAAAAACTATGAACGTACGTACATTTACAAATTTGGACGAACTTATGTACATATGTGCGGTGCAAAAATTTTAATTTAGATAGGCGACAGAGAATGCAAAATTTGCTTTGCCCAATTTTCCTTTTTTAAGGACTAATACAATTTAAAAGATATTCTTAATCAAGTCGCACTAATTTAATTTCTGAGCATAAGACTTAATATGTATTACATAATCAACCCAATTTTAACTACTACACTGTTAGAAGCTTTTTCTTACAATGTTTGCTTTTGAAATCACTTTGTGATTTTGCTTCCTAAAATTAGTTACAATTAAGGGAAATGAACAAATACCCACTTCAGCGTTTTTAAGCTCATCATCTATTGAGTATTCCATAAATTCAGGTTCAATTTTATCTCTACTTTCAAACCATAGGTATTCAATAATAGGTTCTTGAACTTTAAATCGAAAGAGAAAAATCACAATGATTTGTCGGACAATTTTGGTGGTCATGACTTCAATTTCCTTGTTCTTTACAGTGTCATTTATTTTACGACAGCTATTCATTATATTTAAAATTTCCTTCGTTAAACTCTCGATAACTGGATGTTCACGTTCATCTTTATTCTTAGAAAAACCTCTGTTGCTAAGAAGAGTATATACCATTTGCCGTAATTTCGTAGGAATTGCAGGAGAGGCTTTGTCTGTTCCAAATCGGTGCGTTGAAAGTGCAATTGTATAATCTTGTAATCTATTCGTCACTGACTTTATTTTGGCTTCCAAGCAAGCCTCCTTATTCCATTCATCAATATTGAGATATTCTTTCGCTTTAGAAATGGTTATTTCAACAATATAACGCTGCAAGAGACCTTCTAATAGGTTTTTGTTATAGTTTTTTCCGAGAACTTCTGCTGAGCAATTGTATTTTTTCAAAAGATTTCTCATATATGTTTCATTGATGGAGGTAATAGATTTTCTTAGTGTACAAAAGAATTCAAGATCATGTTTTAATTGTTTGATTTCATTTGATAATTGCCCAATGTTATTGCTATCATGATCATCAAATTCGAAATTTGTTACTTTCCTAAGTTCTGACGGATATTTAGCAGTTTCATTTTTAGGAGAACTTTTCAATTCGATTAATTCACGTATTCTTATATCTCTTGCCTCCAAATCGCCATTTAATTCACTTATTTTTTCATCTTTTGATTTAATATCACCCTCAAGATTTGAAATGATTTTTTCTAACTGTCGAATTCGATCAGTATTGTTTTGCACGTCATTTGTATCATTAGGATTAGGGATATTATTAGTATCACTAAGGTTAGGGATACCTTGAATTTTTTTTATATTGTTATGATACTCGTCTGAAACAAGCGTCCATTTTTTAAATTCTTCTAATTGAATTAGTTGACTATACCTATTAACTAAATCACTTTCAATTTGAACTTTTACACCATCTATGGTTGAAATAATGTAATTTCTTTCACCTCGAAGATTCGAAATTTCTCTATTGCATTTTTCGATTGTTTGTTCGCAATCATAAATTAGATTTTCTATATTATCTTGATTTGCATCTTCGAAGACATCGTTGAAAGGTTGAATCTCTTCCCTGAGCTCATTAACTTTCTTAGTATATATGGAAGAATCGTCTTTAATGAATTTTTCTAGTTTAATAAGTTGATTGTACTTATTTACCAAATCTGATTTCAATTCGCATATTTTTTTATAAAGTGACTGAATATTAGTTTTGAGATTTTGATACTTTTTGGTTGCGGTTATATAGGCTAATTTTTCTTCCAACTTTCGCTTTTCGGAATTGAAATCATCAATAGTCTTTTTAAGCTGAGTATATAAATAAGTTTTTAAATTTCTTTTATGCTTGTAGAGGGTTTGGAAGTGAAACGTATCGTCAATACATTCTCCATCATAAGAGATTATAACTTCATTATTATTAGTCTTGCGTAAGGAAAATTTTTTTTCAGGAGAACTCTCGAATTTATTGCGATATTCTACATATTTTTCAGTAACTGGATGTTCATCGTTTAAATTCATCAATTGAATAAGCAGGTCATATTTTTTCATCAAATAATTTCTCAAATCAAGTTTTTGGCTATAGAGGTCGTTAACATTTTCTAATAGTGTTTGAATCAATTGATAACGTGCACCATTAATATTATTTATAGAAGAAACTTCTTCACTTTCTTTATCTAGCTCATTAATTTGGTTCTGAAGACGTAGTTTTCGATCTATAATATTAGTATTTTCGTCTTTTATTTCGGCTAATTCATTTTCAATTTTCTTTGTTTCATCATTGAACACTGCATACTTCTGCATAAATTCATTTAGTGTGGGTAGATTAAGTTCAATTTGTTCCTTTAATTTTTCTTTTAAATGATTTTCAATTCGCATTTTTTCTTCACGAAGAATTTGAATATCCTTTATAAGTTGCCAACCATCGGAAGAAGTATTGATTGTATTAAAAGCTTCTTTGCGAATTGATGTTTCAAATTTAGCGCATTGGTTCGTTATAAAATCCTTTAATTTGTTCTTTTCAGTTTCAAGATAGTGAAGTTCTTCATTAGAAAAATTTCCAATTTTACGCATATTAGATATTAAGTTTATTTTCCCATTATTCAAGTTTTTATAGCTGCTTTCTAATTTTTCAATCGTTCCATTTACATCAAATTCAGAACCATTAATACTTATATTCTGCTTTTGAATTAATTTATCATCAATAATAATATTCATATTTAATTCTACATTTTGGTCCCGTTTTTTTATCAAATAATTTTTTAGCTTTTCATTTTCCGTATTAAGGGTATTTAAATATCGAACCTCTTGTTGATATATCAAATCATCCTTAGTTTTTATGCCGTTTTGACTATATTCATTCAAATTGACTAATTCATCCTCAAGAAGTTTAATGTTTTTCTGGATATTTTCTGTTATATAGTTTTCCATACTGTTTTTGGCATTTCGTAACCCTTGAACTTCATCTTCACTAAGCTGTTGAATTTGTTTAGTTTGTATGGATTGACTCTTTGAAAGGATCGTTTTCAAATATTGGATATATTTGTCATGCTTATTAGAATTATCTAATACAGCGATCGCATTATATTTAACGAGTAGCCATTCTGTCAGTTGCTCTCCTTCTGCATAGAGAGCTTGAGCTGGATCTGAACTTCTCTTATTCCGTCGGGAACTCAAATTCTTTAATGCATTCATAATACGATAAGTTTCTGTAATTAAAGTCGAATAATGTAGTTAACTCTTCAAATATTTTAGTTTATAAGCCTTATTGACTATTTCTATCGATAGCAAGATTGCGGAGTATAGTTCCGTTCTGTGTTTATATTTATTAAAATATCATGTGCAAAGTGTGTATATCGTTACATTTTGTATGCCGCACAATATAATTTAGCTATATGTACGTACGTACGTACATGCGTACTGATAATATTAATAATAATATTGCGGAGTTTTGTATATTCTTTAATGCAGTTTAATTTTAACAAACATTTATAGTAATTGCACCATATGGGTCATTATTAACAAAATGTATACCATAGCGCTGCATATAGTACTCCCTTGAAGAAATATTCTTTAAAATAGATAGTTGCGCAACGCAGTCACGCTAAAAACCAGAAACGAAGGCATTTCTAATTGATTCCAACTCACTGGCAATCACTTCTCAGACAACTTAGTTCACCGTCAATTAAGAAAGACAAGTTCATTTCATAGATAGTATATTTCACCGACTGCTCATTTCACGGGCAAAGTAATTCTAGTCATTTTTGTTAGGGTAGGTTTATAATTAGAGTTAGGGTTAGTACAAACTATAAAAAAAAAACTTGTCTATTAAATAAGCTGTCGGTGAAATATATTGTCTATAAAATAAATTTGTTTGTGAATTAGAAGCAAAAATTTTTTAAAGGCGAAAACATATAAAAATTTAGAAAATTTAAAGAAAAATTTTATAGTAAAAATTTTTAAAGCAAGATCTTTAAATTTTTATTATTCTAAAGATTTATAATAAATTTAAAAAATTTTCATAATAAAGTATATAGAATAATATATATAGTAAATAGCTTTAGTAAAATATTTAATAAACTTAAATCTTAAAATAAAAACTTTTACCTCGCCTACAATTATCACGAAAATTTTATTTAAAAAGTTGTTATTAGCATTAGATTAATTAATAAATTATTTTACACACCCATCTTGTGAAGATAACTCTTTCGGCGTAAGACCGAATGGTAACTTTGACTTTTGATCTTTTGGAACATTGCCTAAATGAAGTTTGAAAAGTTCAATTGGCCTTGGTAAGTTTTCTACCCTACTCTCTCGTCGGCTGATTTCTGGAACTAAAGCACGGGCACCCCACTCAACAACACCCTCATAATTTTCATTATATTGTAATACAGTATTAGTTTTAAATTTGCCATTTACACCTGGCCAACTTTGATTAGTTATAACGTCACGGGAGTAAATACTAGCACATGCAAAGCCCTTAATTGTATAGATAAAAAAGATTTTTTAAAAAAAAAACAAAGAAAAAGAGCAATAACAAATAAATTTCACCGACATATGATGATAAAGTTACCGAAAATGTTGTGCCAAAATCTAATTATTTAATATTTAATGATAATAATAGAAGGTATTTTGAGCGAACAGAATTGCATGAATTAAAATTTCAAAAATACAACTTTAATTTTATTTATACCTATTCCCACGACAACACGAATGCCAGAAGGTACTTCTGGCAAATACTTGTAACTGTACTGCGCCTAGAGGTCGGAACCGGTTTTAAAAATTCGAGTTTATCACATCAAAATTCGAGTTTAGCACATTAATTATTATTAATAAATGATGTGATAAATTCGAAGTTTGATGTGATAAATTCGAATTTTGATGTAATAAACTCGAATTTTTAAAACCGGTTCCGACCTCTAACTGCGCCTTTCGATATGAAAATCCTCTTCCATAATGATTTTCACGTTGAGAACCTTAAAAAATAAACCTAATAAATTAGGGAAAATAAAGTTAGTAAACTTTATAAATAAATAAATAAATTACATTCTAGTTTGTTACAAAAATTTCATTCCAATTGGATACAAAGATTTTTGGAAAGATTCACGTAAACAACACGTATATGTAATACACACGTGTATACCATCCAAAATATACAGATTAATCAGTCCTAATCGGTGATTGTGTTTGACTGTTAGATAAATAGCAAACAAGCGGACAAAACGGATGCCAACTCCGTAACAATGGGCAAACTCTATTAATAAATGTCGGAAATTTTAGTTTACATTCCGATGCAGTTCAAACAATTTAAAAAGTTAGTCTCCTATGTTGCGAGTAACAATTTCATTAGTCATATATCCGAAAAACTTAGATTCTTAATTCAAATTATATAATAAAACCTTAGCAGTAATAAATCATGCACTACTTCGTGACAGAGCACAAATTCTATTGAAAATGCCGGAAGCTCCGTTTAATTAAAAAGATTTCCGGACAGTGTTTGCATTTGGACTAATTAAAATAATATGGACAAATATGGACATAGTCATTTTTCAATTGGACATATACATTTGGACAATGTCCAAATTTTCTAAAAATATGGACATAATCCAAATGCAAACACTGTTTCCGGAGTAGTTTTAAAGCGGCCGAAAATTTTATAATATAAATATACTGTATTATTTTTATAAAAGTTTCTAAATTTCATTTACAAAAAAATAAAGCAGGTTACAACACGCCGAATTTGTGCCCTGCTTCGTGATATGGCGCAATTACTATAAATGTACGTATGTTAAAAAAATCAAACTCCATTACGGAACGATATTATATAAAATTCCGAAATATTATTATTATTACTGTATTATTATATTATGTAGCATACAAATGTAACGATATACAAACTCTCTGTATAATGATACTTTAATAATATAAAAGAGAAAATAGTCGCAGAGCGGAATTATACTCCATATCCTATTAATTATGTTATCGATGGGAATAGTCAATAAGGCATATTAACTAAAATATTTGAAGAGTTAACTACATTATTCGACTTTAATTACAGAAACTTATCATATTATGAATGCAATAAAGAATTTGAGTTCCCGACGGAATAAGAGAAGTTCAGATCCAGCTCAAGCTCTCTATGCAGAAGGAGAGCAACTGACAGAATGGCTACTCGTTAAATATAATGCGATCGCTGTATTAGAGAATTCTAATAAGCATGACAAATATATCCAATATTTGAAAACGATCCCTTTAAAGAATCAATCCATACAAACTAAACAGATTCAACTTAGTGAAGATGAAGTTCAGGGGTTACGAAATGCAAAAAACGATATAGAAAACTATATAACAGAAAATATCCAGAAAAACATTAAAATTCTTGAGAATGAAATTGTCAATTTGAATGGGTATAGTCAAAACGGCATTAAAACTAAGGATGATTTGATATATCAACAAGAGGTTCGATATTTAAATACTCTTAGTGCGGAAAATGAAAAGCTAAAAAATTATTTGAGAGAAAAACGGGACCAATATGTAAAATTAAATATTATTATTGATGATAAATTGATTCAAAAGCAGAATATAAATATCAATGATTCTGAATTTGATGCAAATGGAACGATTGAAAAATTAGAAAGTAGCTATAAAAATTTAAATAATGAGAAAATAAACTTAATATCTAATATTTGTAAACAGCTCAATAAGAATGGAAATTTTTCTAATGAGGAACTTCACTCTCTTAAAACTGAAAAGAACAAATTAAAGGATTTTATAACGAACCAATGTGCTAAATTTGAAACATCAATTAGCAAAGAAACTTTAAATGCAACCAATACTTCTTCCAATGGTTGGCAACTTATAAAGGATATTCAAATTTTTTGTGAAGAAAAAGTACGAATTGAAAATCATTTAAAAGAAAAATTAAAGGAACAAATTGAACTTAATCCACCCACGCTAAATGAATTTATGCAGAAGTATGCAGTGTTCAATGATGAAACAAAGAAAATTGAAAATGAATTAACCAGAATAAAAGACGAGAATAAAAGTATTATAGATCGAAAACGACGTCTTCAGAACCAAATTAAAGAGCTAAATAAAGAAAGTGAAGAAGTTTCATCTATAAATAATACTAATGGTGCACGTTATCAATTGATTCAAACACTATTAGAAAATGTCAACGACCTCTATAACCAAAAACGTGATTTGAGAAATTATTTGATGAAAAAATATGACCTGCTTATTCAATTGGTGAATTTAAACGATGAACATCCAGTTATTGAAAAATATGAAGACTATCGTAATGATTTCAAGTGTCTTATTTGTGAAAAATTTTTTTCCTTACGCAAGACTAATAATAATGAGGTCATAATCTCTTGTGGTGGAGAACGTATTGACGACACGTGTCATTTCCAAACCCTCTACAATTATAAAAGAAATTTAAAAACTTATTTGAATACTCAGCTTAAAAAGACTATTGATGATTTCAATTCTGAAAAGCGAAAATTGGAAGAAAAATTAACCTACATAAACGCAACCAAAAAGTATCAAAATCTCAAAACTAATATTAAGTCACTTCATAAAAAAATATGTGAATGGAAATCTGATTTGGTAAATAGGTATAATCAACTTATTAAACTAAAAAAATTCATTAATGATGATTCTTCCGAATATACTAAGAAAGTCAATAAGCTCATGGAAGAGATTCAACCTTTCGAAGATGTTTTCACAAATCAACAAAATATAGAAAATCTAATTGATGATTGTGAACAAACCATCAATAAATATGGAAAAGAAAATTTGAAACTTCAAGCTGAAAGAGATTTCATTGCTACAGCTATAGATAGTGTAAAAGTTAGAATTGAAAGTGATTTAATTAATAGGTATAGACAACTAATTGAATTAGGTGAATTTAAAAAATGGACGCTTGTTTCAGACGAGTATCATTATAATATAAAAAAAATTGATACAAACAATATCCCTAACCCTAATGATACAAATGACGTGCAAAACAATACTGATAGAATTCGGCAGTTAGAGACAAATGTTTCAAATCTTGAAGGTGATATGAAATCAAAAGATGAAAAAATGTGTGAATTAAAAGGCGAATTGGAGGCAAGAGATATACAAATACATGAATTACTCGAATTGAATAGCTCTCTTAGAAATGAAGCTGCTAAATATTCATTAGAACTTGGGAAAGCAACAAATTTCGAATTTGGTGATCATGATAGCAATAACATTGGTCAATTATCAAGTGAAATCAAAAAATTAAGACATGATCTTGAATTCTTTTGTACATTAAGAAATGCTTCCATCACTGAATCATATATGAAAAACCTTTTAAAAAAATACAATTGTTCAGCAGAAATTCTCGGAAAAAAATATAACAAAAATCTATTAGAAGGTCTCTTGCAGCGTTATATTATTGAAATAACCATTTCTAAAGCGAAAGAATATCTCAATATTGATGAATGGAATAAGGAGGCTTGCTTGGAAGCCAAAATAAAGTCAGTGACGAATAGATTACAAGAATATACAATTGCACTTTCAACGCAACGATTTGGAACAGACAAAGTCTCTCCTGCCATCCCTACAAAATTACGCCAAATGGTATATACTCTTCTTAGCAACAGAGGTTTTTCTAAGAATAAAGATGAACGTGAACATCCAGTTATCGAGCGTTTAACGAAGGAAATTTTAAATATAATGAATAGCTGTCGTAAAATAAATGACCCTGTAAAGAACAAGGAAATTGAATCCATGACCACCAAAATCGTCCGACAAATCATTGTGATTTTTCTCTTTCGATTTAAAGTTCAAGAACCTATTATTGAATACCTATGGTTCGAAAGTAGAGATAAAATTGAACCTGAATTTATGGAATACTCAGTAAATGATGAGCTTAAAAACGCTGAAGTGGGTATTTGTTCATTTCCCTTAATTGTAACTAATTTTAGGAAACAAAATCACAAAGTGATCTCAAAAGCAAACATTGTAAGAAAAAGCTTCTAACAGTGTAGTAGTTAAAATTGGGTTGATTATGTAATACATATTAAGTCTTATGCTCAGAAATTAAATTAGTGCGACTTTGATTAAGAATATCTTTTAAATTGTATTAGTCCTTAAAAAAGGAAAATTGGGCAAAGCAAAATTTGCATTCTTCGCCTAAATTTTTGTACTGCACATATGTACATAAGTTCGTCCAAATTTGTACATGTATATAAGTACGTACGTACGTAATTTTTTGTCTTATTTCACTTTCTATTTACGCGCATAAATATATAAATTTTTTATAAACTTGGTTATAATCATGTATCGATATATCAATATTAAATAAAGATGGGTTTGCTCTAAAATAATCATTTAAAGCAACAAATGTTTTTATACAAAATGACGCATTGGTTTAAGGGTGAGTAGGATGAGGTTAGTACTCTGGTCAGACATTCGTTTGATTGGTTGATGTAAATCAATTGCCCGGGTAACTTATTTATATACTAAAAGCCATTTCCATCTTCGTACGAACGCTAATATTCACTATGCAAAAGAATCTCAAAAGAACTTCCTCCTCGTGGATTTTACTTAGAAGACAAAGTATATTGCTGTTTATTGGATTGTGTGAAATTGTACTGTACAATAAGGGTAACTGTATATATTTTCGTCTAAACCTACTTTGTTTCGTATGATTTAAACAAATTCTTATTGCTAACTATTCGATTTGAAAGGTACAAGCGTTTTAGTAGTAGAATATTCAGGTTCAATGTTTAAATTTAGTCGCTTGGTTGGGAGTTGTCAATCATAAATTTAAGCTTTGGTGTATCAATGGGTTTAGGCTTATTAATAATTAAATATTACATTTGCCCAACTTTATGCGTATCTATCTATTCTCTAAAATGTATGTGATAATTTCATTTGCATGTATTTATTGGTTCGTAAGTTTTATACTATAAGCTTCTTTATACGAAGTTATTTTTTAATTTTCTATTGTAGTATTAAAACGATGGGTTTTAAAAATTACGTAATTTGATTGGTTAATTATCCCTGAATATCTACAAAAATTAACCAATCATACGAATGTCGGCCTATGAAATAGTGAAGGAGCTTCTAACCTTTTTCACTTTTTTTCGGATATTGCCTTCCAATACGATACATTACATATTGTTTATTTGTCATTTCATCTGTCAATACTGCCATTAATTATCATGCAATACAAACTTGGCGATGATAGTAACGACATATCGAATTATCTTCATTGCTATGTTAAAAATTTAAGAAATAGCATTTATAGGTAACCAGATTTCAATTAAGGGTTGAAATCATTTAATCACATAAAATTTACATTATACAAAATTTTCGAGAATAGTATGGTATCTCTTTGGTCTTCGCTACAAGATTTTTATCAAGATTTAGACGCAGATCTCGTAATACTACAAAGGAATCGATCTGCCAACTATCTATTTATGCCCTATAAAAAAGTTTGTATATGTTATGCCTAATATAGAAATTTTTTTATTTATTTGTATTATTATAATTTTTCATGTACTGTATTACGAGTTGATAAATCACATCGGCTGTAGGTGTCATAAACCGGTTCCGTCGTTAGTTTCAAACCACCATAAAAGATTCGTAACCACCTGAGAAGGTTAAAAACTATCGGGATTGGTTCTAAACCAACAGAGGGAAGAAAAGATATATAAAGAGTACTTCCCTGGAGGCTTAAAAGAATAATTCGAATAACATCTTTAATTCCCCATATAATATCTTGTGTAAATAATCTGATCCTAATAAAAATATGACAAATTAATAACATAATCCTGTTAAATATAATTCAATAAACCTACTCATGATACTTATCTTGCTAACTATCGTTGAAGTTTGTAACACAGGTCATATTTATATTTACGGTAGTTACAACAGTTATTGTAGGCTTTGTCCAAAAAAATGTTCGGGACGGAGTCTATTTTCCGATAGTGTAACAAAGAAATTTTGGGTTGACACAATAAGTATAAACATTGTATATACAAAAATCAGTATATGTTCGGAAAATCTTAGAACATTGCTGACAAAATTTTTTATAGGGATGGAATCTATCTATTTATGGTAATTTTTATCATATGGGATCTTTGCTAGGAAAATCACCCTTCGGGATTTTCCGATCGGGCTAATTCGGAAAATTTTAGACCAGAATGTCGGTTCTTATTCATATGTAAAACATCTTTTTACTTTACTGATTCGACAGTTTATTTAATAAACTATCGAATAAATATAGCAAAAGGTGATTTATATATGAATAAGAACTGGCATTCTGGTCCAAACCTTTCCGAATTAGCCCGATCAGAAAATCCCGAAGGGTGATTTTCCTAGCAAAGATCCCATATATCATTATGTACAGTGCAATACGTACGTACATACAACATTATTTGGGGAAGACTGTAGTTATAAACTAAAAATTATTTAAATTCTAATTCTATGTTGGTTAATTATGTCTGCTGTTTACGTATGTGCGTGTACAAACATGACGTACTGTTACATTCATACGGACTAAAAATTCCGGATATCAATAGCATTTCTTCATAGATTAATACATAATAAATTACCAAGTTATCTTTTCTTCTTTGATCCTTATATTAATAATTCTTTAAACATAATAATATTTTATTATGGAAACTATCGAAAGACGCGAGTATAGTTTTAGTTACTCACCTGAGACGCCAGAAGATATTCGTGTTGTTGTCGGGATAGGTATAAGCATATAAAATTCGTATTCATGTATCGTTCTTCACGTCCCAAAGCTTGAATTAATATTTCTTATTTAAAAAAGATTTTGGTACTACGTTCTCGGTAAATTCTAAAATTTACTGATGTTATTTTTTATATTATTATTAAAGTTCCTCATTTTTGATTAATTATTTGACGCTCAATATAGGGTTATGCATGTGCTAGCGTCCGTACTTGTGAAGTTATAACTAATACGAATTGGCCAGGGGTGAATAATGGCTCGTTTAAAACTAACACAGTATTGCTATATGATGAAAATCTTAAAGTTAGTGAGTGGGGCGCTCGAGCTTTAGTTGGCGACACTCGAGAACGTAAAAATAGAGGAAATAAATCACCAAAGCCTGTAGAACTTTTTAAATTGCATTTAGGAAATATTTCTGATAATAAAAAGCCAAAATTACCACAAGGTCTTTCTCCTGAAAAAGCTATTACTGATTATCTTCGTATGATGGGTATGTAATCAAAATTTATGAGAAAAATTAGTAACAGTTATACACTGAGTGTCGCAGAAATTTCATTTCTGCTGTATAAATGATTTATGCCCTACGATCTTAATATTGTGACTAGGGTATAAATAATATAAATCAAAAAGTTTAAACAATCGTTATTTTTATAGGCAAGGTACGAATTTTAAGGTTCTTATATAATAAATACTCTATTTTTATAATAAACTCATTTTATTTTATTTTGGTATAGTATATAAAAGGAACTGTTGAAGCGCATTGGCCAGGAACAGATTTCTTTAAGATGGTGCGCCTAGTAGTTACAATTCCTGCAGGTAATTTTACAATTTATATAGCATATATTAATTTAAAAATTTTAAATCCTTACCTTAATGTTTATTATTATAATATTAATAGAATTCACTGAAAAGACGAAAGTTGTTATGAGGCAATGTATTTACGACGCTAATTTAATTAATAATATTGGTACGCAAAATCTACAATTCAGTACCGAGCGTAAGTATTTGACCCATCAATTATATTTTTATTAATTATATTTTTATTAATTTTATCATACAAATATATGACTTTAATTCCAATTTTAGCCGAAGCTGCAGCAGTACATTGCATAAAGGTGTTAAAAGACCATAAGATTAATATCGGAGGTATGTATAATTTATTACAATATATCTATAATGCTAAAGTAATAAAAATTTTCTTCTTAAAAATCAGATACATATCTTGTTGTTGACTGTGGCGGTGGCACAGTGGATTTAACGGTCCGAAAATTATTAGAGAATAATCGACTTAAAGAACCTACAGAGCGCTCAGGTGGTTTTTGCGGAAGCACTAATGTGGATAGAAATTTTATTGAATATCTTGAAAATATAGTTGGAGAACATGCTATTTCATCATTACGAGAGAAGCATTACGGACAATTCCAATATGTTATTCAGCAGTTTTGTGAAAGAGTTAAACATCAATTTACTAACGATTCTTCCGATTTTAGAACATTTGAATTTAATATTGCAAAGTATTGCCCTGCTCTTAAACAATATATTAAAAATCCGGCCAAAGATAAGCTAGAACAAGACGATTGGATTATTGATATTTATTATAAAAATGTCAAGTTGTTTTTTGATCCTGTTGTTGCACAAATCCTTGATTTAATTAATGAGCAGCTTAAAAAAATTGACAAATGTTCAATAATATTTTTAGTAGGAGGGTTTGGTGAATCTAAATATCTTCAAGCAATAATAAAAGAAAGGTTTAATACTTATAAAGTCGCAGTTTCACCAAATCCAGTAGCAGCTATAGTACGTGGTGCAGTTGAATATGGATTGGACATGGATACAATTAAAACTCGAGTACTTAAATGGACGTATGGTGTTGGAGCATATGAAAAATTTCAGGAAGGTACCGATGAGCAATCGCGTAAAAATAAAGATGGATATGTTTTAAAGTTCATTTTACTGGCAAAAAGGGGTATTGAAGTAGATGTAAATCAAAAATTTTCTAAAAAACTAACGCCAAAACGGCCAGATCAGAATAAGGCATTCGTTGAATTTTTTTACACACCAAAATACACGCCCAAATATTGTGATGAATCTGAAATACATAAATTAGGAAATGTTGAAATTGATTTACCTGATACAGGTCTTAATAGGCCTATATTGGTTACGTTATGTTTTGGAAAAATGGAAATGGTGGTAACAGTAAAAAACGAAACAGATAGACGTACTTATAGAAGTAGATTTAACTTAGAAATTTAAATTGTATATGTTTTAGCAAGATTAAGCTATATTATAATTTATAGTGTAATTATAAGTTATTGGTCTTTTTTTTTTTTGTGTTATTATCTTGTATCAATACATTCATAGTCGTATTATTAGCAATTAGATATTGGTGTGCGTCAATTTAATTGATTTTTTTGATCATCATTAATGTGTAAATCGTACAAAAATAGAAGAACTTTAAGACCGAGATATTTTCTTTAACTATCATTGAAATTTACATGAAGATGTTAAAGAACAGGCATACTTAGAATACAAAATTAAACTAACAACTTCTTACCAGGCCGGAATGCATATTTGACGTAAATTTACATATCATTTGATTATGGCGTTCTCAAGCACCCCACCTCAATGGACTCAACAAAGAATCAATTAGTCAAATTCTTTATAGAATTCATTGAGGTACGTAGGTGCTTGAGAACGTCCTATATCACAAAATTTACATGTGACATATCGTGTGCTGCTAACGTGGAAATCACGTACGCGCGTTGTGAAGTGGTAACTACTCCAGAGTCGGAAAATATGGATCACAGTACTATCAACAGACACTATCTAAAACTACTTTACTAAACACTATATAATTTATAGCAGGAGTCGAAAAAGGCGTGGAAAGACTTGTCCGAGTAATTAGGTATAATAGATTAGAACTCTAGGCTGTGTTAGGATCTCTTAATATAGATTAACGGTTTATATTAGTCAGATTCTAACAGTCGGGGATTATTGGCTTATAACACTAACAATTACGCTATAGAGTTTTTACTAGAGATAAGCACCTAGATACTGAACTCTACCCGAGTTATGCTTTATTATGAAGTCAGAAGGCATAGCTTTTACATTATTAATGAGTACATAATGAATAAATTCACTAAAGCTAACTAGTTCAACTAATTCAATAAGTGCAATAATTCGATAAATCAAATAAATCAGTAAACATTCATGACTTTGGTAATATGGTAATGATTTTCTTCCTTCTATGACTCTTTTATAACGAACACACTAAATGTGCCAAATCCACCAAGTTCACTAAAATCAATTATGTATCCGATCCACCATATAACCAAAAATTCATTTCAGCCACAATCTACCCTTTCATGACGTACGTACGCACGTTTGTTATCTGGAGTGTAATTGAGAACATCATATATGTGAAAGGTGGTGTGTACATAAGTTCACTCAATACACTTCGTATAAAATACTAAAAACTCATTTTAATTTTCGCCCAAACAAATATTTAGACTTGTACATGCGATGTGGAGCGTATCAAAACCATTTATCGTTATAGCACGTTGACTAATATAGAAATCCATTAAAATCATGTGTTACTTCGGCTGTGGTGTCCCCAAATCGGATGGAACGTTAATTAAGAAATGTCGGAGGTGGTTTCTAACCACCGGGAGGAGTATCAAACTATAAAGGCTATATAAAGGATATTTAAATTGATCACAAAAACCAAATTAAAATTTATTTAATCATAATATCATGCATTAAATCCATTTTGTCGACTATTGTAGTTGGATTTGTAATACAACGTACATGCATACGTACAAAAAAGTAAAGAAAAATAAAAAGTTTATTATGAGCACAAAACAATTCTTTTTACGCCGGCTAATGATTTATTTGTTGATTTGTGTGAAGATAATTATGCAATTGATTTTAAATAGGTTTTGCAATTGATTTGAAAATTAGAAAAAAGTACTTGGGAATATATGATTATACAGCAATTATTTATATTGCAGCAATATTCTAAATACGTTGTCTTTTCTAAAGTAAAAGTCTTATAAATACTTAAAAATGATTGCAAAAGGTCCATTTAATAATCAGTATAAGGAATACTACAAGAGTGCATTAAGAGAGAGAGTTTCATGTGTGAATACGCTAGCTTAATCATCATATACTTCTTCAAATCTATTATTATCTTCTTCATAAACCATTCTATTATCTCCTATTACAGGTCTACTATTTTGAAGGCCATCAAAAAGTGCCGTCATTCTGTCTTGTTGTAGTTTTAATTCACGATCTTTTTGTTCAATCTCACGTTGTTTTTGTTCGAGTTGATATTTTTGCCATTTTTTCCAAAAAAGAAAGGCAATTAAAGCAATTACAGCTAGTAAAATCACTGGAACGAGGACCTTATAAAGCAAGTCCGAATTACTTCCTCCAGAATTACTTTCAGAAGTACTTGTTACAAAATTACTTGTTGCAGAAGGTGATGGCGTAGATGTGACAATATAAGTAGTTGATGGATTTAAAATCCAACAACCAGATTGACAACCCAAGTAGGGATTGCAATAATCCGAAGTATTCCCACAATAACCATATTGAGAACAGCAGGGTCCATACGGGCTATTTCCACAATCCAATCCAACACCACAACTAAAGCCTGACTGAGGTAAAGAAATACATGTTTTGATTTTAAATAATAGAAAAACTATATAACTGTTAAATCTTTGGTTCATAATTATTTTACTACTGAACGCACGCACGATACAGAGTGTTTTTATATGTTCAATTCGTATAAATGTTATACAAATATGCAATGACTGTCCCACGTTGCATAACCTCGTGCGTACGCATGTGTGCAAGTTTTTAAGACAAATAAAATTGGTTATCATTATGGATTATTTATTCTGTATATTATTTCAGTTCCTAACAGCTGATTTATTTTTCGGAGGCCGGAGTAGCGGGAGACTAAATTTCCTCTTTCATCTCTGCTCTGAAACAATCAATTAAGTAGCTATTATTAATTTTGCCACTACTTTTCTAGCTCTTGTTGGTCTTAGTTAATATGAACCTGGGTAGCAGTGACAAAATTAGTAAATGCCTATCTTCGTCATTTATAAAAGCTGATAACAAAAGATGCGCAATTAAAAAAAGATTGTGCAGTATTTACATATTTTCAATTGGTATACATCCAAGATTCTGCACTCTTATACGAAATGCCTATTTGTACGTGTTATACAGACCCAAAAAAAGAAATGTAAAGTAAAAATTTGAAAATGAAAAAAGGGGATCGATTTACGTACAGTACTGTTCTTGATATGGTTCTAAAAAAGGCTCTAAGCACTCGCTATTATGACGAAGTATATGAAGAGGAATTATATAGGATTTATTATAAGACCCCTATTATGAATAACACGTAAACTAATCTAGCTATAGCATTTACATATATAGTCAAACCTCTCTATAGTCATCTCTATAGAAGCACATTTTCTTTACACACATATTTTTTAAACCAACCCTTATTAAATATAATAAATTTGACCTCTATAATTGCCACATTTTTCTATAAACACATATTTGTATCCCAAAGTGTGATTTTAGAGAGGTATGACTATACAACTATCATAATTATCAAATTATAGCATTATAATACAGTGTTGGTAAATGACTAGGTCATTTTGTTGTTTCTTAAGTGACCTTTGTCATTATGCACATAACTTATAGTCATCGGTCACATTATGAATGATTAAGTGACGTAACAGAGACAACTATTTTTTACTTGCAAAACGTTAATTTCTAAAGTATGTAAATATGACCGACCAATCAGAAGAAGGTTTGCCTACGTCGCATTAGGTCACATCAGGTCACATCAAGGTCACATAAGTTTACATGACTATATGACCTGTGACTTTGTCACTTAATCATTTAGGCCATTTCCGGTCATATGGGCAGCCGTCAATAGAAATCAAGCAAATTTACATTTGAAAAAAAATCAATGCCTTAACTTTCACAGCTCATATCTCGATGAAATTTAAAACTATCTTAATGATTTAATATTCAAAAGAAAGCTTATGATCTAAGCTTTCTTTTGAACATTATACCACCAAGATAGCTTTAAAATTCAACGAGATATGAGCTGTGAAAGTTAAGGCATTGATTTTTTTTCAAATGTAGATTTGCTTGATTTCTATTGACGGCTGCCCATATGCCAACACTGTTATAATATATACTATAATTGATTATAGTGTTTGTAGTCGATAGCACATTAGTCGACTTAGTCGGCTAAGTCAATCAATTTTCAAAGATCGGCTTAGTCGACTTTCTATATATTAATGATGGGTGACGCATGACGCAACTTGCGTCATTGACGCATGACGAAACCATTTCGTCAGGGTACTTCGAATTGACGAAATGACGCATGACGCAACCCATGACGCATGACGCAACTCATGAAAATGACGCAACTTATGACTAAATGATAAATTTGGTATATGAGCGTGTTTAAGAGAAACCTGTCATCGGGCTTCCAAATATACTTTGCAGCATGAAGCCCGGTTCCTCCGCAGGCAAACTCATCTAAAACAGTCTTACCCACTATTTTTTTTTGCTCTTTTGTCAATAACCCAATTACAAATGCATTGTGACTGGGCTGAAAATTGCCTAAAAACTTTGACGAAGCAGTAGTAGCGAATTTCTGGGTTCAAAAATTATCTTTGACAAAATATTTTAATGCCTTTTTTTCAGTGTTTCCGTCCAGGATAACACTAGTATAATATTTTCCGAGTTGACTTTTTATTTCTTTCGGCATTTGCTCACTAAAAGTTTAAATGTTTTTTTTTATTTATAAATTCCAAAATTTTTTTCGCATTGGCAAAAGGGCTTGCTTGGCTAGTGTCAATTACTAAATCATATTTTCAAGTTTTACTTAATTCCTCCATTTTAGTAAATTGACCCCGTGCTAAACCCAGTGCTTGGTTCCTGCGAAGCATTTCCCTTTCTTCCATTAGAGGCAATTCGCAATTTACTTTTATGAATAAAACTCGGTGATTCAAAGCCGAAGCGTAATTCCCCAAATCTTTTTTGTCTCAAATCACTTCATCGAGAATGAGGTTATACCAGTCATCGGCTAAATATTACTTTACCAATAATTAATGATAGTTTTTCGTAGTCTTTAACACATTCATTATATCATTTAAGCAACCTATACAATAATATCTCCCTTGATATTTCCTAAATTTTTCATCACTTTCAATTGTTTTACATTTAACACATAGCGGGGTTTCGGGTTCTCCAAGGGTTTCATAATTTTTTCCATCTATTTTTTCTCAACTGTCCTTTACCTCCTCTATTTCTTTTGTTAATCGCACTCTGTGAAGGGGAAACGTGACCCGGTCGCAACGAAAAACAGGATCCAAGCATATGACTCGGGGCATTGATGACAAATGCGAAGGAATTTAATAAATGCCAATTCGGGTTTGGCTTGAGGCGATGCTCCATTGAAGAACAATAGTAAGACGCCTCTGATATTCAATGGTAGGAACTAAAGTCATAGTCATAAAATGAGTATGAATTACTCATCATTAGTCATAGATCCCCCGATACTTTAATATTAAATAGTCATATTGGTTAGAGATTCTAATCGTTGTAGCAAAGCCCCAAGTAGTGTTTGTAGTCGATCCTTATTTATCGACTTAACTAAGTCGATATTTAAAATTCGGTTTAGCCGACTAAGTCAAAGTCGATTAATATTTTTTACCTTCGGAATTATCGGAGATTTTGTCTCGTATTTTATGTTCGGAATTTTTTGGCCTTTACTCTTAGTACTATGTACTAAAAGAAGTAATGTATTGAATCTGATTGGTTACTTTAATATAATCTAACATAAAATCGACTAAGTCGATTTTTTGGAAAATCGGCTAACTAAGCCGATAAAAATCGAATATGCGAAATCGACCTTACGATCAATAGCATGAACTTTAAAGTTGCTTCGCAACCATTCTCTATCGGTGCAGAGCGGTACGCATATTTTGGTATTAACACTCAGTTGGGTACAACAGATAAATTGGTAATGTAAAAGTATCATGATACTAGTAGAAGAGAAGATTGAGTTGGCAGAAGTTTCTTCAGTCGCGTATTTTCTTACGACAGATCAACTCAGCCGCCAAGCGAGCTGATACAGTATCAAAAGAAGGTTAAATTTATTTATGTGAAAATCTTGAGACAAAACAAAACAGAGCAATGTTATTCGGTAAAGGTGTACTTCCGTGACGCTGAATTTAAACGGTTTAATGTGATGATTGCAGAGTTTCATTCCACTCTTGATCTGCGCATTTCACATATAGTTACACTTAGTGGTTTGTGATTTACAGGCATTGAGCTCGAAAGTGAATTTGTATTAACAGATCCTGCGATACATTGTGTCGATTCTTTAAGATTTGGAGGAACGAATCTAGGAGAGAAGGAAATCAATGAATGTTTTTTAAAGAATCATACTTGTAAAAATGTTTGCAAGAAATTAAAAACAAAAATTTAGATATTCGCTCAAAATTTGAAAAAAGTTAAAAACGCCTATCAAAATAAAGCTGCGTCAAACTAATTAACAACCACCTGAACAAATTCGATGAAATGATTTATTTATTTAAATTATATAGTCTAGGAAATTCAATAAAATTTTCATCAAATTTAATCAGGTGATTGTAGAGATATCTTCGCTCAAAGTTTTAAAAAAAATTTGGAGTAGCTTCTTTATTTGATAGGCAATTTGAACTTTTTCAAATTTTTGAGCAAAGTTATCTCGAAATTACTTGATCAAATTAGATGAAAATTTTTATTTTGATTCTCTAAATATAGTGGATTCGAATAAAAAAATTTTTCATTAAATTTAGCCAGATGGCTGTCGAGATATTTTTGTTCAGAGTTTTAAAAAAATTTGGCATGGTTATATTGATAGACGTTTTGAATTTTTTTTAAAACGTTGAGCAAAGTTATCTCGGTAATCACTTGATCAATTTTTTATTCGAATCCCTTATATTCAAAAAATCAATATAAAAAAATTTTCATCGAATTTGATCAGGTGGTTGTCAAGATATCTATCGTTGTTTTGTCGGAGGGTACAGTATTAACAATAAACAAAATCTGAGCACTACCAACAATCAAATACGTTTTAATAAACCAATCTATTTTGACTCCTATAGCAATCTGGTGTAGTGTGGCATACAAACCACACTGGCATGGTGTAGTTTATACTCCTAAATTGGAATATAATACTCCATTAACAACCCTACTCCGGATACGCATTTTCCTAATACATTGTCGTGCCTGAAGTTGTATCTGTTAGCTAGTAGTTTAGAAATTTTAGGCAAGTGTAATTTCAGGCAAGTGCTAACTTCGGGCACGACATAATGCATTATCGTTATGTGATTTTAATGATTTATATAGTATTCTATAATGTAATATCATGAATCCATGATGGAAATTTTACGATTCTAAACCGTAAATCACACTTTATTTGCTTCACAATTTCAAAATTGTTAGCTATCTATATATATTTAATTTTTTATTTTATAAAAAATCAAAAATTTTTATTCTTTATAAAAGGTCTGAATAGGTCTGAATTTATGAATAGCATATAAAATTTGAATATATAACAATCAAACAGTATCACTATATCTAGGTTTTTGTTTTTTCCTTGTAAATGCTTGTCTTTGTGATACATGAATAGATGGGAGTAGTTTTAAAGTTTCTGGATGGGTTAAGTCTTTTTGTTTGTGAACCTATAGGAAAACACTAGTATTAAGAATAATGATAAAGAATTTCAGTAAATTCCCAATAATAAATAATTACCTCAATCTGATCATTGACGAATTTAACACCTTCTAAAGTTTCGATTGTAACTTGTTTCCATCCGCACATAAAGTTAAACGAAGACATATAATTTTGATCCCGTTGAATATGAAGAATAATGCAGACGTATTTAATAATATCGGAATTTTTTCTCACAAATTCATTTTGAAATTGTTCAATAATGAATTTCGCCAACTTAATACACCCAGCATTTACTGTAGTAATATCGCATTGAAGAATTAACATTTGCTCGTCTGATTCTTCCCAAAATCGTTTTATTCGATTTTGAAGTTGAGCTTCCGTCTTAAACGTTGATAATTTATCTACTTGACATGTGAAGAGATCTCTTAAACACTCAGTAACATCCGTATTAATATTAGAGAACGTATTTATAATAAATCTCGTTACTGCCGAGTCCGTGTACATAAACTGTCCAAAAAATGTACGAAGACTATCATGATTCTGCAATGGAATATGTTCGTCAGTTAAATTACGGAAATAAACGTTATTCCATAGATCAATTTCTCCAGGATCTACGTTTGATCTTTGAGCTCTAATAATTCCATCGGAAGTTGCAATGTCAATTAAAGCTGCTTTGCATCGTTTAATTATTGCTTCTTCATTATCCTTAGGGAATTTTGTCATAACATCGATTACTAAACTTTGTAAAGTTTCTTTTTCATCAAAACCAACAAAAAGATCCTCTCGTGTAAAAGAAGTTCGCGACGAGTTAGTTTTATTCATTTCTACCATAGAAACCATCTGTTGCGTCCAAGTGCTTAGGATTTTAACTAACTTTTGATGATTATCGGTAAGTGTGTTATCGATTGTCATCCTTTGTTTTTCAAATCTATTTAGTAATGGCGGATCAACTGTTGGTAATTTTTTTTCATCAAGAACTAAAATACATCTAAAGTTCTTATGAACATATCTTTGTAAAACAAAAAAAATGTTAACTCTTTGATTAGTTTTTAACAAAAATATATATATTCACATAGTAACTTACAACATAGGATTTGAATATGCTCCAAGTGCAACACGAGTGTAATATTTGGGATCATTTTTACTTCCAAATACAATATAATTCTGGTTCCATA